TTTATAAAGCATGCAAGAATGTGGGTAAACAAAGATTGTAGAAAGTATATTTTCAATATGTAACATGTATCACGCGATAGAATATAAGTTAGCAAAACGCCGTTATGTCCATTTTGTCGTGGAAGCAAAGAAAATTGGAAAAAGGTAATTTCCTGACAATTTTAATTACGTTATTATTACGTTAAAGTAATTACGTTATCGATTGTTAATTTATAGCGGGTTACTCATGTGTTGTGATATTGAAATATGTTTACAGCTTATACTTCAATAAATGAACCGAAACTGTATAAAATAAGTTTTACGATAAGAATCACGTGATCTTTACCATTAATCATCACGAAATCAAAAAACATATACTGCTTTTTATGTAATAATCTCTATCCATGTGTTTGTTGGGAACCAATCAAATTTCTTGAAGGTCGCTCCTGTACTCACCTCTTGTACATTTGCAAAAACATATTCAATGATAAGCATGTCTTGGTGTCTTCTGAAGGATGCAATTTAAAGCGCTATAGCGTGATCCTTAGGTTTGTAGTATAAATTTGCAACTTTGTAAGTTCCGTTCCAAAACTTTACATCTTGTCATCAGATGGGGAAGCGCTGTCAAAAGCGCATCATGACTACGGTATCAGTACAATTAGGTTCAGTTTCTAGAAGTTAAACAGTTTTATGATTGTTATGCATCCAAAATGTGAATATTTGCTGACATTTTTATATGTATAACGAGCATCAGTCGGCCTTATCTACAAAGGGTGAATCACACGCTATTAGCTTTTGAGACAAAATCTCTTTGCAAAGGAGATATTGTTGTTTCTTTTTGATTATTCATTCAATTTTGCATTAGAAACACTTGCAATTCTTACCCTTTTTAGCATCTTTACTCAGTCGGCTGAAAGTTAAAATTAGAAATCATCACAAATCGGCGCGTAGGAAGGCATACTAGTGAAAAATGGGATATAAGAAAGGTTTACGTCCTTATTTAGTCAAATTAGCACCCAAACCCCTTGGCACAAATAAGAGGACCTAAACTTGCAAGGATGCAGATTTTCTAGGTACATCCAATTTTTGGTCGACTGCATAGGAATCACAATTATGTAGGGTCAGGGTCTTGTGTTGAGCTCGTCTCTGCCAAAAATCTCATTGACAATAACACATACAAAGATATGAGCGATATGAGGATAGGGCGGAAGAGGGCTAGGTGGGAGAGGAATAGTTTATAGTTTTTTCGGAAATACTATAAAAACATCACCTTGGGATATGATGCAAAA